ACTACCGAATTTAGCGATTATTTGACCACACACGTCAACTGACTATAAATATTACCCATTCTTCTCGAGTGATAGTGACTTGCTTGAAAAAATACGGGACGATATGACCGGTGGTCCCTCAATTGTTTTCACAAGAAAAACAGTAGCAAACGAAACGTATATTAGGAAATCAAACAATTTGTATAAATCAATCGTTGGTAGTGGTGCTAACCAACTGTATTCTTTTTCTATGTGTCAGGATATGCTCACAGGCTTGTATACGAGATATGACTACAATGAAGAAACACAAAAATTCAAGGCAAGGCAAAATCGAGTTCGAACGTTTGAAAAAATGGTCGTGTCATGCTTTCAAGCAACCAGACCGGAATGCAAAATTGAGAGTTACTACACTACAAAAACACAGAAAAAAATTGATTGCTTCAGTCTTGATGGTTATTGCAACCATTATAAGACTGTTTTTGAAGCACTGGCTTGTTATTTCTATTTTTGCCCTTCTCAAGAAGCTAGACCCAGCCTAACTGATGATGAAATCAAACGAGGAACCAAGAAAAGAGAAATGAATGAGCTTCGAAAAGATTACAATCGAGAAAAAGGATACTCTATAGAAGAAATGTGGAAGTGTAGTTGGTGGGATTAATTGAAAAACAATGTAGACGTGAAAAATCACGTTAGAACTTACTTTCCCTTCAAAAGACCTCTTTCTGTCAATTCACTACTGCAAAACATTAGAAAGGAAACAATTTCCGGCTACATACAATGCGATCTGAGAGTTCCAGATAAACTAAAAGCGAAATTTTCCAGTTTCCCATTTGTTTCCCACCTATTTTCAAAAATATTGATGTTACCAGAAACGATATTGGGGATTATATGAAGATATATGCGGAAGAAAACGATTTGTTAAAACAACCACAACGAAAGTTGATATCGAGCTTCAAGTTGACCAACGGATTACTTACCACACCACTTTTCAACTTTTACTCGTATCTTGGACTACAGTCTCCGAAAATCATCGATTTGTACAATACACACCGCGTAAAGTATTCAACAATTTTGTTCAGTCGGTTGTTGATGCCAGGCGAGCTGGTGATGAAAATACATTACCTGGTGTAGTAGCCGAAGCAAGCAAACTTCAAGGAAATAGTTCCTACGGCTATCAAATAATGGACAGATGAAAACAGACAATGGCAAAATATCTTAGAGACGAAAAAACCCATAAAGCTATCAATAACCAATTCTTCAAAAGACTCAATATCGTAGCTAAAGATTTGTATGAAGTGGAGCTTGTTAAATCTACTATAGAGCACCTTGGACCAATTATATTAGGATTCTTTTTTCTACAGTGTGCCAAGTTGACAATGTTGGAGACGTATTATAAATTTTTCGATAAATTTTACAATGTCCACAAATTCGAAAAACTAGAAATGGATACAAATTCCCTCTATTTGGCTTTGGCAGAAGAAGATTAAGATGTATCCTTCCTAGCAGGGGAGCAGATTGGACTGAAAAGCGAAGCAAGGTCTGTGGAGACGATTTCAGAGCAGATGCTAGAAACAACAATTTCCCCCGTACTTTTTGCTCTAAACATAAGAAACATGACAAGAGAGAATCAGGATTGTTCAAGGAGGAGTTCAGATGCACCGAAATGTTATGCCAGTGTGGTAAAACTTGTTGCTGTTATGATAGTTAAAGTAAAAAGTATATTTTTCGCGGTAAAGGACTGAACAAACGCGAATTAGAAGACTCTGGAGATGGCCCGATGGCAAAGTATCGACAAGTATTGGATGAGGCAGTGAATTTAAAGTCATCAAATACAGGATTTAAAAAGATTAACCATGCAGTCGCAACTTATCAACAAACTTAAAAAAGACTGAGCTATTTTACCCTAAACGGGAAGTTGAATGAGATGGAATACATACTAAACCTCTAAATTTGCAGGAGATTATGTAGTAAAATCGTATACGATGCTGTGAATCAAAACATTTTCTCTGTAATTAACGTTTTTTCAAAAAAAAAATTTTAAACGCAACGTTGGGGTTAACAATATATTGTTTTTCCGTTAAGAAAACCTGTACAATCTGGAACAATGGCAAAATCGAGCGCCAAAATTTTTTTCTCGAAACTCACTTTCTGACCATTTGAAACTCTGAAACCTATATGCAATCTTGTGACCTTGGAAAATCTATTCCAACGTAACACACCAATAATAATTACCCATTAGGTAACACGCGTTGTTGACCTTTCCACACAAAGTTCAACCGTTTTTCTTACCATTCTCTTACCATCAGTCAAAATATGAAACCTTACCAACTCTTTTCCCTATCTTAATACATTGGAAAATCTATTCCCTATGTTAATACATAGGGTGATGACCCGATACTTTATAGGGTGATGACCGGATGTTAATCAATGGGGTCATCACCCCCCGGACGATTTGAATCCAACATATACTACTGGGCTTGTATTAGATACATCACTCAACCCAGTCCCATGATTATTTGTGGTACCTAATTTTGCGTAGAAAACAAATAGAAAAATATGAAAAAAAAACTAAAACACTCGAACACAAAGCTCTTCCCACATTTTCAATGGTCGTAACAACAAACAAGTCAGACAAATTTTGATTTATTCATTATCCATAAAAACAAAAACCAAAATGTGGTTGTAATTTAAATTTCGTTTTTTAGAACTTTGGATGACTTTTATCAGCATAAAAGAATACCATTATAAAAAGGCTACTTTATTCTTAAAAAAAAAAGACTATAACCAATTCGACAAGAGAACAAGAACTATTTAAAATCTCGTTTTCAGCATTTTTTTTTTTAAATACTGACGCACTAAGAAGTTGATACTTGAATATGAATGTCAAAATTTGTATGTTTTTTTGCTTTCACTATAATTTTTGGCTCCATATTGTAGAATGCTTAGCCTAAACTGATGTTTTGAAATTTTTTCACCGGTTTTGACAATTATTAGAAAACCCGGCTCTGTGCAAAGCAGTCCAATACAAAATATTCTTGTACATAATGTGCTGAAAAATCATAGCTAATTACAAAAAACAGTCCCATATAAAACAGTTCCAAAAATAGTTACGAAAATAGTCCAAAAACAGTCCAAATGATTGAAATGATAATTTTTCCAGAAATTGATAAGAAATTTTTTCTCGGATTGTAAACATTTTGATTCCAACTGATCCCAATGACAATAGGTAGTATAGCAGAGAATTTAGAACAGTCCAGATAACAACCGCTGCCACTCATTGAAATCAATAAAACGCGAAACAAAAAGTTATTCCAAAAGACAATTGAACTCTTTATTTAATCCATGTAAAAAGGAACAAGTTGTTCAAGTTGTTGTTCCGATTTTCGATACGAGAGTCACGCAATATTTGTGCTCGGGTGCGTTTTTTTTCTTCAGACAAATTTTGACTTTTTAACTAGCCATTTTTGACAAATTTTTTTTATATCATTCGGAAGGTATTGTTGTCATGAGCTCACATTTGAAAAAATATTTTTCACCTTTGATCATTTTTCGTAAAGTTATGAGGGTAAAAAGATTGCCATTTTGGCCAATTTGGGACAATTAACGCGCGATATATTTCGCGCTATTAACGCGTAAGCGGAGAGTTAATCCGTCTTAGAAATCGTTCCAAATTGGTTGAAAGAAGCTTATTGGCCATAATTGATTTGTTACAAGGAGCGAAATTCATATTTTTGTACTTTATATGGCGCGTGGGGGGATAAATTTCATTTAAAAAAATCAAATTTTAGAAAAAAAAAATTATTTTGATTTATTACATTTAATTTTTTAATGTTATTACTGCTCCATAAACCTTTAAAGGCAGTCGGAACATTCAGGGCTTCGCCCTGATACGAGCAGTCTTGTTTCTGTTGCGAACACTTGGAAACACTCAGTAGAAACGAAATTCGATTTTTATGGAAACTATACATACGAGCAAAAGTTCTGAGCTACTGATTTTTGAAGGGCATCAAATTCATTCATTTGAATTAATTTTTCGGGGGTTGGGATGCATTTTTGGCATTAGGCATTTTTATGGTTTACACTTCGTCTGCTTAATATACACTCAGTTGATCGCGCGGCTTAAAAACTCTAATTCGCAGATTACAAGCAGTCTGCTTGCTCGCTCTATTCGCCCGAAATTGGACTAAAAATCAAAAACATCAAACCCGTTTCTCAGCAAACAGAAAGCGTTTTGGAAATTTTTGTTATCGCTCGAATCACGGATGTTTTTTTCATTACGATATATCACTCAACCCATTGCGATAACTTTTTCTGGCACCTGATTTTTTTGGAAACAATTTCGAAAAAAAAACACCCGAAGACCAGATTCCTCTCCAATTTCAGTGGTCGAAACAAGTATGCAAAAAATCACTAATATGAATTGGTGACATGTTCGCGGTTCACTCGTCTTCAACTTAACCCGAAAAGTTCAACGAAAACTCATGGGAAGATGATGAAAGCGGGGAAAGCTTCAAGATTGTACTTCTGAAGTACTCACCTAGTACTACTGCTCTGACGTATTTTTTAAAGATATTTATTCAGTTTAATCTATGCAAATAAAGAAAAATGTTCGATACAATATACATATAATCGAATGACCAAGTCAAAAACTTGATGCTAACATTTACAAACCAGGACGTTTTTATTACAAACTGATTATCAGAGAGTTATCAATTTTAAGTTTGGCCTGAACTTTCATGAACTCTACTTAACCACTATTGCACATTAAGATCACAGAATTACGTTTTCTTAGAAAAATATGAATTATACAATAATATAAATTTAAAAACTATTTTAAGAGATTTCTGAATCAAAGAATTTGTGCGAATTTTCTGATTGAAGAATTGACTGAGTTTCGGCAATGAAAAAGGGGATTGAGAGCTAATGATGGTTAAAGGTTAGCATACTCACAAGACGTCTCAGATAAAAACTGAATTGTACTATTAAAAATAAAAAGGTTTGCGAGCAGTTTTGCCCAAAAAATGATATAGAGATCACTCGCTGAATTTTTTTAGCCTTATGCTATAAAGGTACGTTGCGTCTAGTATATCAGCTAACACTTAACCAGCGCTAATTATTATTTTTTACAAAATAACGAATCAAACATCGACAATTCCGTCGTCGTGATCTGTGAATGTTTTCCGGTGGTAGACGTTCTCGGGGATATGGTTGAAGTGATTGTTGCTCCCCATGTGATGATGGCTCCCGGGTGGTCTCATTTTAGCCATTTCGGCCTGTTTGCTGTTCGGATTATTGGACCCGTGAGTTAAGTTGTTATTGTTGTGATGGTTGTTGGAGTTCATGTTGTTTTGATTACTTTTACCGTGCTGGTGTTGACCTAAAATTACAGGAACTCTTTTCCAAACAACGAAGTTCTAATTGATCAGAAAAACGTCACATCCATGTCCTCCATCCGCCCCAAAAATATGGAACAAATATCTGCTTCTGAAAATAGCTTATTGATTTATGTAAACGCTCTATTCTGATCGGAGGCAGTTGTTTTTTCTTTATCAATGATTTTCTTAGCTAAATATTTCTCCTTACTATGTAAAAGGTTAATATGCATGAATGGATGCAGATTTCATCGGTGAGTCAGAAATCATCTGGATGGCAAATTTTTTAAAGAAAAGAAAAAATAACAACCTGGGGGACCAGGTCAAGAGGGCAATTGTTTAATTTTGGATGGATAAATTCATTTAGCTGCATACTTTATGGACTGCATATAATACTCGGAAAGCGGTGGCTAAGTCGCGATCGCTTTTAAAGAGTCGGTGGTTTGAGGCCCACCGTTATCCGAGTTGGTTGTTTAACATGAGGCAACAATGTCCAGCTCAGAAAAACACTCAAAAAGTTATTGTAGTTCTTAATCAGGAGCACAGCCGCGGCTCTCGAATGAAGAGCAGAACATCTTGTTTGTTGCTTCATTCCCCGGTTTATGGATGAATAGCTTTAACTAACCGTGGTCTGGTTTCTTGAGGTACTGGTCCCATAGCTGTGCCACCAGTTCACTCACTATGATGCTGTTGGTGTTCTTGCTCAGCAGTCTGATCATGAAGACCCCGTCTGGGCGGAGGTAGATGTTGACGAACCTCCTCACCATCTTCCGATCCTCCATCGAGTTGTATCTGTCCATGAACTTCAGGTGCTTCTTGATATAGCCTACTCATAGTTTTAATAGTGAGAAGTGCGAACAACAAAATTATTCGAATGCTGAATAAATATTTGACCTCATCTGTTACTTCACTTTTTCGAACACAACTTTTGAACTCGAAAAAGGATTTGACAAACATATCACAATAAAAATCAGGAAATGGAAATCAACAAGGGAAAGTTAATACTAAAATCGTTTTTGCATCGTGATTTGATTTTTAAAAAAATGACCAAAACTTGAAAAAAATTTTGAAAAAAATTAGAGCAAAAGTTTACATTTGTTTAGAGTAAAGTTTCTCCTGAAAAAAGGGACAATTGAAGAAAAAATTGATTGTTGATTCAAACTTGAATGTCCATTTTCTCTGCTGTTATCATTGGTTTCAGTTTAAATATTGCAAAATTTGCGACTTTAAAACTGATAGAATTTTTTGTGGCGTCTTTGAGTTTTTTCCCAAAAACAGTTCCGATTGTATGCGAATTGAAAGACCTTGCATTTTCTTTGCATGGAACTCAACCCGGGAAGGTCGATAGTTATTACATACCCATTCTGTCGGCAAGGCAAATGGTTCTGACGATCCACTGGGCAGTGTTGACTGTGGTTGCCATGGCGACGAACACTAGCCAGTACCACACGAACAGGTAGATCTTCTCGTTGAACAGATTAATACTCAACACACACTGCACTGTGTATTGCACATTCTGGCCTGAAACATGACAAGAACATCTGCTGAAATCGTGAAAACAAACCTAATCATGATTCACAGAAGATACCAGGATTTTTGGATCCCTAGGCTCCTGAAGAAAATACTAGATTTGTTACCATTTTTTGCAAAGCATCATCATGAAGATGGAAAAAAATTGTGTGAATCAGTTGCATCTAGCAGCACCGACTTCTTCCGTGTGATGACGACATTTTGTAATTTCAAATTGAGCGGCAAATGCTAACTCAGGTAACATTTCTACTCGTGCCAAATGTAAGCGGAGCCAGCGCTCGCTACTTTACCACTTGCGGCGAATACTCGCCAGTTACCAATTGTTGTCGAAGAGAATATTTTGGATACCTCTTTTGAAATACCCTATATTTATGAATCAGGTAACCCCAATTCGCGATCTAGACCTTTTTTCAAAATTTTCAAAGATACTTTTAGAACACTTTAAGAAAATGTTATTGCAGCTTTTTTGCCTAATAAACAGTCCGCGAATTTTTTTGACATGTTTTTCAATAGATTCTATGAAGATAAGATGGAAAGGTATAATTTGCATTTACAATCGCCACTCACCGACTTGACGAACTTCAAAGTCACACAAAGTGACCCTGGCAAACCGACCATCTGCAGTCCAGTCATGACCCTGGAAAATGTTTTGGGCGACTGTCAGTCCATAAGTCTGGTATCCATCGCCCAACCAGTGACCAAGTAGAAAAAGTTGTCCGAACACATTGAAAAGATAAAGAAATTTGGTGAAGATGTAGAACACGTTCAGGTAGTTGCCGTATCGACGTGAACATACGCAAAATAGGCGGGAAGCAAGTAGACGAAGCCTGGCGATGGCACCATGCCCGATGTCTCTCTGGGCGTCCAGGTACCTGTCGTAGTGCTTGGCGAGGTATCGGACTGTCTTTGTCCAGAGGTCTGGATTGAGGACTGATTCAAAAGTGGTGGCTGTGTTTACTATTTTGTCGATGTCTATGCCAGCTGCCACACAAAATGCACGCCATACTGTTCGGGGGATGTAAAAGAGGAGTCCTTGTAAGGCGAGAATGATGGGAACCTAAAAAAATGAAATATTTGTTGAGCAATAATTTTTCTTTAAAAAAACATAATTTTTAGCTCTAATACTGACTATGCATTAGACCAAAGTGGAAAGTTTTTGGAAAACGATAAGTGTGTTCAATTTCACCAAAACAGTTGCCTGATTTTGGTAGTTAGGCTGCCAAATTCTTCTTCTGGAAAACACAATCCCATTTTGCGTTGAATATCTTTCATATCACGAAAACATAATCCTTTTTATGCCACATTTGAGCAAATTTGCGATTTTGTGGGCAAAAACTACATTGAAGGTTTTGCGGCGACCTCCACCCATTCTTTTTTTTTTAAATGTAAGATGCCTATGTGAAAGTGTATAGGAATAGTATGATGGCATTTTTGTAGAGTGGGTAGGCTCTCAAACCTATATTTCAGCAGTAATTAAACTGTCGATTATTATTTTTTCTGTTGCTTACCCACTGGTAGTACTTGATGTGTAGCACTTTGCCATCTGCCTTGCCCTGTTCGATTGTGTTCTCGAAGGGCAGATAGTAGGTGTTGGAGATCCAGCAGATGTTATTCGTGTACTCCACCCACTCCCTGTTGAACTGGGCAGGAGTCCAGCAGTTGATAGGATCCCCTGGAACAGACCCAACAGAAACTACAGTCAATGCTTAACTTTTGGCAATAGTGGCAATTTAGCCAGTTTTATTGGCCAAATAACGGCGCTTTTTGTTCCGACCGTTGAAAATGAGGAGGAACTTTGTCTTCGGGTGTGTTCTAGTTTTTTGTTTCCACGCAAAATCAGCTACAAGAAACTATCACCTGAATGGGTCGAAGGATAAATCATCGTACAGCTTCTTCAGTTGTTTGAACGACATTAAAGATATTCAATTTTTTTTCTCAGTTTTGAGAGAAATTGGTTTGAATTTTTTCATTTTTGGTCTACTTTCGAGCGAATACACTGAGCGAGCATGGATATTTTGCATTTCAAACAAAACCAATTACCACAAAAAAATCATCGAAATAGGTATCATTATAAAGTTTTTCAGTAGAGATTCGAACGATATCCAAAGCTTTCTATGTGTCGAGAAAAACACATTTCAAATTTTTGAGTTTAATTCTAGTTTCGAGTTAGTAAAATGAGCTTTTATGTCTAATGAAAAAACATTTTTCTATGTAATCAAACACTTAATTTTACTCCAAGAAACCTAGGATGAAAACTTTTTTCAGCGCTTGAAAAAAGTTTATCTTCAACAAAATGAATCTGCAAAAAACTAGACAACATTTTGAACAATTGTTTTGATTTTTTTCTTGTTTTGTATAATTTAATTTTTCGAAGACAACTTGTCGATTATGCCTAATTCACTCGTTGCCGTGTCAAGTCTACGCCTAAATACAAATCATTTGAAACATTTGAAAATTTCTGAAATCGAACCCCCACACGCCATATTAAGTGCAAAGTGATGTATTCCGCTAATAGCCTACCTCATTTCAATTTGAAGCAGTTTTTGAAACCAATCAAATTGCGGTTTACGCGTTTTCGAATAAATATGCGCGTTAATTTTCTCAAAAAGGCCAAATCAACTATATTTAAACCCCCAGATTGTACAGAAACATCCGCTAAAAATGGCTAACTAAAAAGTTGAATTTTATCTGGAGAAACAGACCACCCTGAGCTCAAATATTCTATCATTTTTCACCCTACAGGGAAACCATGACTTATAGTTCATGAAACTTAATTTAACTATTCAGAATAAGATTGATCAAGAAATAAGTTATCGCTAAATTCCCATTATGAGTGTTTATCTTAAGCTTAACACACTTTTATAGTGATAAGAAAAAATATAATTCCCAATAGTTTTCCCAATCGAGAAAACGTATTTTTGGCTTAATGGTGGCACTTCAGCCATAGATTCTTGAGTTTATTGTTCGGTCTTTCAAAGAAAGTGACAGTCTATTTACGGTTGGGGTGGTGTTTTCTCTTGACTTATTTCGACTTTTCAACTATCAATTTTAGACGGATTTTTGAAAAGTCATTCGAAAAATATTTTTGTCTTAAGCTCATATATAAAAAAAATTCCTTGTGATCATTTTTGTAAAGTTATGGGGGTTATGAATAGGCCAATTTGGGACAATTAACGCGCGATATATTTCGTGCTAATAACGCCTAGACTGATGTTCCATCCAAACTAGAATTTAGTCTTAGAAGTTTTTCCGAATTGAATTGAGCTAAGCTACTTGGTCCATTTATTACTTCGCTATCTGCCAAATATATCATTTTGTATTTTACGTATTGTTCGGGGGGATGATTTTATTTAAAAAAATCTATCATTTTTTTGTATTTTGTTTTTATTTGTTAAAATGTTCATCATTTTTACAACCAATAGCCTTGGTCCATAGACATTTAAAAACCTTCGGAACAATCAGGATTTTGCGTTCATACGAGCAGTCTCTTTATTATTTTTACGACTTATGCAGAAAGTGCGGAATATCTATGCTTGGTGTTGTTTTTTTATTGAGTCAATTTTCGGCAATCGAAATCATAATTTTTGACAAAACAATTTTATACCCCATTTAAGATATTGACTCCCTGAAACCAAATATCAAAAGATATTTTTCCTCCGATAATTTTTTGCAAAGTTCTAAGGGTTTGAGTATTACCAAATTGGCCATGCTCAGGATTAATTTATGTGCGCATTTAAAAATTTATTCATAATACTGAAAGCGTAACCCGAATTAATTATGCGCGGCGAACTATCCCGCACAACAAAATCGCTCCAAATTGAATTGAGGCTAGCTAATCGGTCGTAATAAATATGTACGACTCAAATTTTATTCCTGATCTTTGATTTTGTACAAAATTTGCATTCAATACTTTTTCCCAAAAACTATTCGATATGGATTAAAGGGCATTTGGAACTGTCTGGCTTTTTTCTGATATACGAGCAGTCTTGTTTTATTTTATAATTTGTCCAATAACAAAATCAGGTTGGCAAAAAATATTCGATTATTTTTTTATGTTTCCTGTATTTGTATGTATCCTGGATTGAAATTATTAACAATTTTTTCTGAAACTAATTTGAGTAACTTAAAAGATAACTATAGCCTCCTCTCCAATCAATGTTCCGAGCCCCATTGTTGTTGTTCCGACCATTGAAAATGGGGAGTAACTTTCTATTCGGGTCTGTTTTAGTTTTTTCTATTTGCTTTCCACGCAAAATCAGCTACAACAAACAATCATCGGACTGAGTTGCGTTATATATCATATTAAAGCCCTTGCAGTCGCAAAATCAGCTACAACAAATAATCATCGAACTGGGTTGAGTTGTATATCATATTAAAGCCCTTGCAGTCGCAAAATCAGCTAAAACAAATAATCCTCAGACTGAGTTGAGTTATATATATCATATTGAAGCCCTTGCAGTCGTAATTCGAATCACTTTAAAGAATTTCAAAAAAATTTCTCAGTGTCAAGAAAAACCGGTTTGAAATATTTTTTTTTCTTAATTTAAATAAAGCGAGCGAGCGAGCATTTTTATTTTAATTGGTTAAAAGCAACAAAAGCTTGTTTTAAAACGTGAAAACTTAGTTTCACTTAAGTAACCTTAGTTTACTTTGGGTTTTTTAGCGCTTTTTTCAAATCAAAATTTGAGAAAAAAAAGATATAATTTTTTTTTTCATTTTTCAAGTTTTTCTACAAAAATAGTTTTTAGTTTGCTAATTTTACTATAACTGTCGAACATAAATAATTTCCATTTTTTTTCAGCTCTTTTATCACGCCACGCCAAAAAACGGCAGTAAATTGAAAAAATTTTGGTGTATTTATTTAAGACTATGCTTGGAACATTTTGTGCTACCTGCACAGTAACCGGCTACCCTTTTTTTCTTATTTTTATATGAATCAAGACTGAGCTAGTTTGATCAACTTTAGGGGAACTTTTATTTGGGTTAGAAAACATGAAAACATGAAAATAAACTTTTTTTAAATAAGCAATTTTCAGGCACTGCGCAACCATGAAAAATCTATTAGTCAATCGAAAAAAGGGGCAACATTTTCGAGATTGCATAGCAGTGGATTGGCTGCTAGCTAACTCTCTTTACTCTGAGATGAGGTAGTAGTTCGTACATAGCTTTAATTTTTACATAGTATACAAGCTTTTAACTTTTAAATACTTTTACTACTCTTTATTTGTATGAAGTTTGGTTGGTCAGAAAGTTTCCAAAAACACCCAAAAATGGCCTTTTTCACCTGTTTTTTTTTTTAATTTGCCTGCGGCGCAGAAATTTTTGTAGGAATAGTGAGCTTAACAGGGGCGGATCTGGAGTTTTCTCAAAGGGGGCGGATTTTCAAAAATTTTGTCCACCTTTGTTTTAGGTCGACCCAATAGATTTTTTGGGGGTAGCGCGCGCCGAAAAAATGCAATTTTTTGGTTAAAGTTTTCCAAAAAAAAGCCTAAAAACGCCTTTTTGTCCTTTTTTCAAAAATATGCCTGCGGCGCAGAAATTTAGCAAAAATAGGGACTTTCTACTGCTTTGGGAGAGCTCGGAGTATCAATTTGGTCGACCTAAAAAGAAAAAGGTCGAAAACATTTCGAAAATTTTTTGAACATCCGCCCCCCCCCCTCGAGAAATCCTAGATCCGCCCCTGAGTATACGTGTATACCCCTCTGCAGACAGTTAGGGCATCAAAAATAGTCCAATTTAATCCGATTAACAGCTTATTTTTCCTCGGCTTTCCAAGTTCATAATGCAGATTTACACGAATTACTCTAACCTAAAACTCTAGGTCGCAATCTTTTGTGTATCATCATTCGCTTGATGTCGCCGTATAGTTTGTGAGACTAGCAGGCTTTTCATTTTCTCAATGGATTTTACCATAACTGAAGAAGAGTCCTTTTCAGGCCTGAAATATGTCTTCTTTAGACGTCACTTTGATTGATGTATGCTATTACGGAGAACATCATCCTAGTTCTTTTAATTTCAACTCATTTAACTGTACCTTGGGACCGAAATGGATTAAATTGACCTCCCTATTTACTTCTCTGAAAAAGTGATTTCAGGTCATTCTATTAATTATTTTCATCTCTGAGAAAAATTGTCAAAAATCGAACCAAAACAGTTCTAACGACCCATTATGGACAGCGTGTCACAAAGCCGAATACTCGGATAGCCAGAAAAAACTTCAATCCGGCTAGCTGAAAATTTATCGAAATGTAGCCAAAAGAACTGCAAAATTACCGCCATTGAAGAGCGCTTTCAATCGACACGAGAGGTTCTTTGCGCGTGAATCAGTATTTGTCTGTATTTGAATCGGTGGTTGCCATTTTTAGTGTCACATTTAATTCAATCTTTCGACCAACCGAGAACAAAAAATTTCCGGCTACCGGGCTTTCGTCTATGTGGTTACAGGCCATTTTGGAGTCATGTAATTTTTTTGAACTCATGACCAGTAATTATTTTGACCATTTCTATATCTATATTTTGATAAAATAGTCGCAAGAGGCTAAAAAAACAAATCGATGAATAATTATGAAAAATGAAACGTGAAACGGAAAAAAGTGTTTTTTTTTCATTTCTTATTCTCTTTGCAAACGTTTTGTGCAAACTGCCCAGCAACCAGCGCTACTTTTGTATTAT